CATTTCTCTCCTAAATTCATGTTCCTACTTGAACCAAAACACACACACAGTGGCGGAACCAGGACACGTGACTCGCAGGGGCATAATTAACAAAGAAATGATATACTAGTCTAGAAAAAAAATCATAGGCATCACGAATATAGCAATAAACAAAACTATAAAATTTAAATAAAACAACTACTTAAAGAGTACCTTAATTTTGATTAGAACCTGACGCGGCAAATGAAGGACAATCACTGAGAGGCGGCAATCTTTGTCTTCGAGGTGCCATACTCTGAAATCGCCTCATTATGACTTCATTCTCAATTTTAACAAATACATTTTTCTCAATGTAACACACCAAGCAATCTGTCAAGTATTCTTCTCCAATCTTGTTGCGCAAATCATTCTTGATAAACTTCATCGTCGAGAAAGATCTTTCAACTATGGCGGTTGTAACGGGTAAAACCAATGCCATTTGGATGAGTCGGTACACTAACTTATAAGTTGTGTGCCACTCTATTTCAACCAATGTTTTTGCCAAATCTCCAATACTTTGTAGGCCTGAAAATCGTGGAGATGATTTGACAAATGTAATGAACATCCTAAGTTGTTCATTTAGTTCAAATTTTTCTCTTGAACTAAAATCATCTGGGTATAGATTAGCAAGACGAAGTAGTCGCTTCACATCAAAATTGGAGAATGAGTCTTTGGGACTTAACGATGCTATGCACATTAGTAGCTCTGAACTTGACTCGGTAAAGCGATTATTCATCTCTTGAATAAGACGATCAATAACCTAACATTATATAAAAAAACATAATTAATTACAATAACAAAATAAATAAATTTAAATACAATTAAGTAAGGAATAAAACTTTTAAAAGTACCTCGAGAAAAATGTCAACATTAAAATAGTGATAATAAGTTTTCGGACTACCATCAATTGTCTTCTGCCTTTTCACTCGTCCTGGCTTTACATCCATCATATTAGGTACATCAATATCATGCTTTGAACAAAATGTAGCCACTTCTTCAATCAACAAATCCCAACCATAATCATTCCTATATTTCTCCAAATCGGTCTTGACGGTCTTGACAAGATCCACAACATTGCCTATGTTTTGATTTTTTTGTTGCAATTCCTTTGATAGCACATTAGTTTTTCCCAATAATTGCAACATGAAATGCGCAATGAACACAAAATCATAGGATGCCATTTTTTCAATCAAACTAGAAGAAGTGGACTTACTTTTGAGATCAACACCATCATCAAATATAGCTTCAAGCACCTCAATGACCGCATCTCACATATCAACAACTCTAATGATTGTTTTATAATGGAACCCCAACGAGTATCACTCGGTCGTGCTAGACTTTTTTCTTGATTTTTCCCCTTCCCCGTGCTAACCTCACCACGTTCTATACGGGCTACAAGATCCTCATAATGCTTTTGTAAAAGATCATCTTTTCTCTTACATGATGCACCAACCACATTTACAATCATGATGAGATGATCAAAAAACTGAAGTAGCTGATTCATCGTGACCTCGAAAAGCCAAACCACCCTCTAAAAGGAATCGAACTACATCAACAATAGTTGTTAATCTTGCACGGTACTCAAGCTCATCTTTCATGGTTTGTTGTGAATATACATAATCCACATTTTGCTTTTGGTTTTGAAACCCGGACCATTTAATTTTTGCATAATGATGCATGCTTTCTAGAGTTCCTTCGTGGTCACGAAATTTTTCCTTAGCTTTCCTCCAGTTATTAAACCCAACTTCAGTAAAAGCATCATCTCCATTTTTATGATGTCTACCAAACAAATAACACAAATGGCAAAATGGTGCATCTTTAGCAACACTATACTCCAACCAATTAAATTCATCAAACCACTGTTTTTTGAATGATCTGTTGCGCCCATTAAAATCACTTTGTGGAAATTTAAAGTCACGCGGTTGGCAAGGACCTTTTGTCAAATAACGTCTCCTCAACTCATCTCTAATATTAACATCATAAGTCTCAATCGGCTTACGCAATCCAGGATCACCAACAATGTCATCATCCGACAATTCAATCTCTATTCGAGCTTTTTTAACATTAGTCTCATTGTTAGGAATGACATTTTCCGATGAAGAAATTAAATTATTCGATGAAGAATCACCAATGATAGGTTGTTTCGGTTTCGGCGGAATTGCCGAAAAATATCGTAACATAGCGATTGTTTGTAACACAACCTAGACCAACTACAATTGAAATTTGAAATAATATGAGTATAATTTTTCAAATTTGAACTATTCAAGTATTCAACATTTAAACCATAAGTGATAAGTCACACAACATATACGAATCAATGATTCAATGAAGCATAAATCATTCATGATTCATCAACAAATCAACAATTAAAAAAAAATAAAACATACCTTCAGTGAGTTCAGTCGGCACTGCCGCAGGCCCGCAACTCACTGCCTTCCTCACCTTCGTCAATCGTCACTTCGTGGGACTGTGGGAGACGGCCGACGGGGACTAGAAGTTCCTGGCATGGGCGGTGGGCGGTGCCGCAGACCGCAGTGAGCGTGGCTGCGTGGTCGGCTGGTCGCGTCTCCGTCTCGGTGTCTGCGTCTCGTCTCTTGGCATCTCGCCTCTCGCCGTCTCGCGTGCAGGGGTCGGGAAAGGCCAAAAGGGGGGAACGTGATTTGGGATTTGGGAAAGGCCGAAAGGGGGAACGGAATGGGAAAGGGCCAAAGGGGGAACGACAATTCATTGGGCCGAGCAGACAAGGGAAAGGGGGAATTGGGATTGGGCTGCAGGGGCCCAAGTTAATAAAACTTAATTATATATATATATATATATATATATATATATATATATATATATATTCTAATATATATATATATATATATATATATATATATGAATTGGGATCATATACAAAGTCTTCTTAATTTACAAAATGCAACTAGATCTCAACCCTCTATTTTAGTTGATAGAACCGTAGCTTTCATCTTGATTATATTAGACAATTAAGGGCTTATTAGTCTTTTAGGTATATTTTATTTTTAGAAATAAAATCATGTCTGATTACGTTCAATTATTTCTCTCTTGCACGTTCATTCAGCCATATCTTTAGGATCAAAGCTTCACCATTTCTATCTCTTCTCCATCTCCATCTCCTCCTCAATCTCAAATTTTAATAGAATCAGATTGGTGTTCTTCTATTAGAATGTCCTGAATTCCGGCACGTATAAGGAGACGCCAGAGATCAGACCATTAGTTCTCGAATGCCTGAACTATATTATGAACGCTACAAAAACATTATTTTTTCTTTTATGAAATCCATCAATTTTGTGTTCATACAAAGTTCTTGTAAATTTAGTAACAAAAGTGTTGTATTTCTTTAGCATTTAGAATAAATTTCTTATATATTTTGCATTTGTGTTCTCATGAATTACGTATGCATGTGAATTGAGTATACTAGTATAATGCAGATGGCATAACAATAACATGCAGTATGAACTATTAAAGTGCACATATCATCTTATTTAAGTGCAATATACAAACTCATAATAATAAGATGCACGATATGAACTTCTAAAATGCATATCCCATCTTAGTAACATGTGGTGTATGAACTTCTAAAATGCACATTCCGTAATAATAAATGCAACATATGAACTACTTAAAGGCAGATGCCATAAGGATAAGATGCAGTATGAACTTCTAAAGTGAGCATATCATCTTACTAAAATGCAATATATGAACATAAAATGCAGATATCATAATGATAAAACGCAACATATGACTTACTAGAATGCAGCGTTGACATATTTTATCATTGTGCAATTTTAATATGTTATGGAGACGTTTTAAATTTATAATGCACATCACTTAACCTTAATATGCACATCATGTAACATTAATATGCACATCACATGAACTAAGTATATATGCAGACACTTCTACCTGTATGAGGTTCTTACAAATTTAAATTATAATCAAAATGTTATAAGAAGATCTTTAAATCGTGCAATGATGTTCGATTTTCAAAAAAAAGTAAAAAAATGTAGAGACTATGCAACTTTCCTTGATATAACTTCATATATTTGAACGGTTAAAATATTAGTGGAAAGTTAGTGGGTAGTTAGCATAAATGGTGGGATTTAGACATTATTATATTTCCAATTTTAAATTTACGGCTTGATAAGTTTAAATTGAATTTACCCATGTGACATTCTCATTAATCGTTGGATGCTAATAGGATTTGGGTTATTTTATTCCATGTATGTCACCACACACACAACAGTACACTTTACGTATCATGGCTCTTTATTTCTTAATAACGGACGGATGAGATTAGTTTGTAGTTTGTAAGGGAGAACTAGTTTGTATGTGATCTCAACCCTATATATATATATATATTCTAATATATATATATATATATATATTAGAATAATCTGTTGCGCCCATTTAAATCACTTTGTGGAAATTTAAAGTCACACGGTTGGAAAGGACTTTTTGTCAAATAACGTCTCCTCAACTCATCTCTAATATATTCTTATATATATATTCTAAATATATATATATATATATATATATATATATATATATATATAAATCACTGGGGGGCACGGGCACCCCCTAGTCCTAGGGTGGGTCCGCCCCTGCACACACACACACACATGTAGGGTGCGGTTCCGATGAGAGCTATCCTTAACGTGAAAAATGAGAACGCTCCAAAACGATTCACTTTATCCTTCACAAAACTGCACATTTATGGTTAAAGTAATGCAAAATTACAATGTGCACATTTACGTTTAAATTTTTGCATAAATGAAATGAACATTTTTCACTTTTTTTATATGCACTTTTCTTTTTTACATGATGCACAATACTCAAATTCAACATTCTAAAATTATTCTCATTTCTCTTCTAAGAGGGCATTCTAATAGGAGTATTTAACGGTTAATATTAGTAAACATTGATATCTAAAAGCCGTCTGTTAACATTGATGAGAAATAATTTAATTTGTAGGCTTGAGAGTTAGTAGGTGGGGAAGGTTTGTTGTTGTTGGTGAGATCAAGTTTTATTTCAATATATATAATACTCGTATAAATTATAAAATTTCTTCTTTTAAAAAACATTGATCAGAATTCGTATTATTTAGAGTTCTTTTATTTACATTTAAAAGTTTATTAATGTGACGAATATGCCACATTGAGACTGCTCGCATGAGTTGTTCATTATTGGTGCGGTGTAACTCATTCCACGCAGCCGCCGGCTTTCAACTTCTCTATATTTTTATTCATTCAATCGTTTCTTCTCTCAAACGCCATTTTCCGGAGCTTCTTTAAATCTCCGTCCTTTGCTTCCTATAGGGTTCTACCATGGTCACCTGGATTTGAAATCTTTGTTTTACTCTCAGCCTTGGTCGGTCGGTGATGCTTGGCGTACTCTGTGCACGTCCCAAGCCATGGATTTTGGCGGCGCTCTCGTTGTTCCATGCTCATGGATCGACGGCGGTGCATAATCGGTTTGCCGGCAGTCCAATTCGGTCAGTACTCGTCAACGGCGATGATCATCGGCGGTTTCACCACTCCACCGCTTGCAGATTCAGCAGCGCCAATGCTAAGCAGGGCGGCGCCGCGTCCATATGGCACGCGATTCTGCCTGCTCGCGGCGGCCGGAAGAGTATCTCGAGTAGGTCCGCTGTTTTTCACCGTCACAACTGTGAGCTGACGAAGAAGGGAGGCGAAGGTTCGTGGAATGCGGCGTGGGATGCGAGGCCGGCGCGGTGGCTGCAGAATCCCAACTCCGCCTGGCTCCTCTTTGGCGTCTGCCCCTGCTTAGCGGCGCCCCCGCCCTTTCTCGATCTTCCCGAGGCTAATTCCGAGGCTGCCATTTCTCCCCAAGGCCAAGCCGGTATCCTAAGCTCCGATTCATCCGGCCACACCCCTTCCAATTACACAGTCACAGGTCTATACCCACCACCAATCATATTTACATTTTTTAAACATTGGTTTTCTTTAATATTCAGGGTAATCACAGTTGTTAGAGACTTGGTTATGCATTAGAGAGTATTCTTTTATACTCCGTACTTTTTATGAATTAACTAAAACATCAAAGCATATTCTTCTCAATATTCCAGAAACAGATAACTCATCACCTCTTTAATCTTTAAATAATCGAATTATCTTTGGAAATGACATATAATATTATATCTATCTGTAATACTTAAACATGACCCCTCAGAGTTATGTTTAACATTTCCCTTTTTAAAAATTAAAACAGCACTAAGGATGTTTTTACTTGGACTGTAATTTGCTGGTTTGGTCTGAACTGATCTGGTCTGGTTTCTTTGTATTTTTATAACTATACAAGTCTGGTTTTGTCTGAACTGTTATAGTTTGGTCTGGTCTGGGACGAATTACAGTTCAAGTAAAAACATCCTAATTGTAATTAGGGTGAAAATTTTGCAGGAGTTCCAGCAGATGGTAGATGCTTATTCAGAGCCATAGCACACTTGGCTTGCTTAAGGAATGGGGAGGAAGCTCCTGACGAGAATAGGCAGAGGGATTTGGCTGATGAATTAAGAGCTAATGTATGTCATATTCTATATTCCCCAATCTTTTGACAGAAACTTCATCTTTTTATTTATTCATATAATTACTAGTGTTGATAAAGGAATTTCTGCAGGTTGTTAATGAGCTGCTGCAAAGGCGTGAAGAAGCTGAATGGTATTTTAGTTAGTGTCCTTTTGACAGACCCCATATTTATGCTTGTAGCTAATTATTACCTAACTACACTATCTTGGTTGACAATTTAAACAGTAGCCCTTACCCAAAGTTAGGAAAATGCATGAAAACAACAATTCAACATTTATTCATTTTTATTAAGAAAATGTAGTGTAATTTAGGTTGTTTAGACAGTTCAACAATTTCATCCGTTTTGCTACAAGTTCTTCCATTCTTGCCAAATTTACTCTTTCTGAACAGGCTATAAGAGTGCAAGCGTATTTATGACTGTAAATTAGATTCGCTATAAAGGGATCTTTTTTCATAATTATTCATTGCATTTTTCATTGTTAGCTTCATAGAAGGAGACTTTGATGCATATGTTAAAACAATTGAGAAGACATATGCATGGGGTGGTGAACCAGAGCTGCGGATGGCTTCTCATGTCCTCAAGTAAGTCTATTTCCTTTCCCCTTTTCAGTTTTCATGGGATTTTCCACTTCTGTAGCACTAGTTTGATAATTGTTAAAATAAATGCATCATTTCGTATCTGACAGGTGGTATTGAAACACCTTGAAGCTCAGTTTTAATCTGATGTGTATTTTTACTCATTGCTATTTACCATATATAATGCGCTCTTCAATAGAAATGAACTAATGATTGGAAAAGGACATAGATTCAATATTCTATGAAGATTTGGTGTGAAAGTATAGAAGCTTAATTATCGCACTAAGCACAACCCTTCATATTCCAGATTTTAAATAAGGGGCTTTAACGACAAGAAATCATCTATCACAAGTAGACACTTGATTGTCACACTTTACAACTGTTTTTATTTTTCAAAATAAAGAAAAAATATGACTAAGTTAAGTAATAGATAAGAATATGACTAAATTAAGTAATAGACAAATATATGACTTATTATGGGCAATGATTTATGTGTTTTGTTTTACATTTTCCGTGGTTATCATATAGTAATATTTTGTTCTTAATTTCTAATATATAATACTATGAAAAAACCTTTAATTTTTAAATTGTTTGACGCCTTGAATTAGTTGTCCATTTCAGTAATAGTAAAGGATGAGTGAACAACTAATGTGTAGGTTATTTTACATTGCAAACTAATGAGAATCTTGTTTTGACTGGATCCTTGTAGGTCCCCAATTTCGGTTTTCATGGTAGATAGAATCTCGGAGAACTTGATAAACATTTCGAACTATGGTGAAGAATATGCTAAGGATGGAGAAAATCCCATCACTGTTTTGTTTCATGGTTATGGTCACTATGACATATTGGAGATCAAGCCAGAGCTGTAAGGTAGAATCAAAGGGGGTGCAGTGACATAATACAGATTTTTTTATTGATTGCATAAAGATTAAAGAGGTCGGTAAAGATTAAAATATGGGTTTCGAGTATACATCCAAGAAGAAAAAACTTAAGTTCTTTTCCTAGTCAGTTGATGATTATCTTGTTTGTGGCTTTATTGATTTATTGTATTGACATTTTTTTAAAGGTAGGGCTGTGACAATTTTGTAGATTTGGCCATCTGTTTCTAGTTGGCAGTTGGAAAATTTGAACTTGAAGATGTTGTTAATAAAGCACCCCCTTCTCTGGTATCACCTTTGAATGCCAAGTCTTTAGTTTGAAAGGTTGTCTTGAAATTTTTGTGTTGAATGGGAAGTGAAATATGGTATATATAGAAGATCGGTATGGTGAATTTAGAGTGATTACAGAATGTGGCAATTTGTAGTTTCAAATCAAGTGTCAATATGTCAGTTGATTTGTAGATCTATGGGGTCCTACATTCATAAACTGATACTACGTACTACTATTATGCATGCTATCACCCCAAAGCCGAGAATTCTACTTGGTCAAATGTAACATAGGGCCAGTACCAAACAAATTTACGAAGACAATGTTTTTGTGTATGGGCAAAAAAGTTATACTAGAATGCAAATATTTCTTATCAGTGATCGTTTGGTAATTCTGTTTTTTGTGTAATAATAAGAAAAAGTAAGGTTGAAATTATTTTTCTGGCTGTATTGGTTGAAGTTATCGTTAACGACCATTTTAGCTATTTTTTCATATATTTTTTCTTTATTTTATTAATAAAATATGGAATATATATTTAAATATATATTTTTTCATAAATCATTAGAATCGGTCGATACATCACTTCAGCCTATTTAACAGATTTCTAAGTCATAAGTCCCTACATTTACCTTTCTCCCTTGTAAATTTTTGCAAAGTTCTACCATTACTTTTTTCAGTGGAATACTGGAATGTACAAGACGAGAGGAAATTTTTTCACTGTGACACGATGACTTGACCAAATTAAAGTATTTAGATCAGTTGTGTGTCGTCTGTTGGTCGATAGGGTAATGTTTAGTACTACCTCCATCCCAAAATGATGATCCTCTATTTCCTTTTTGGGATGTTCCAAAATGATGGTCCTGTTTCCTTTTTTGGAACGAAAGATATGGTACATATCATTTCACTTATACTCAAATCTCAATCATAACTTTTACCTTTTCAACCACTTTATTAAAACCTGTGCCCAAAAGAAATGAGATCATCAAATTGGGACGAATGGAGTATTGTTTATGTAACTTAAGCATTATACCCTGGCCACCATCCGAGTGTAGGTGGCGCCTGAGTTCTTTAGGTCGAAGGCCATGACAAGGTAGCAGAATATGCCCTCGGGAGTCATGAAGGTTGTTTTTTCAGCATCTTCCTCATGCATAAATATTTGATGATACCCGCGGAATGCGTCGAGAAATGACATGATTTCACACCTCGCGGTTTCATCTACAAGTTGATCAATGTTTGGCAAAGGAAAGGGGTCCATGGGACACGCCTTGTTGAGATCCGTGTAGTCCACGCACATGCGGAATGAGGGCGGTTTTTGTGCGAGGACCACGTTTGCCAGTCATGAGGGGTATTTCACTTCCTTGATGTGCTTGATAGAGAGGAGCATGCCGACCTCCTTCTTCACAAATTCCCTCCTCTCGGCCGAGAGGGGTCTCCTCCGCTGTTGTACTGGTTTGGCCGAAGGGTCCACCAAGAGGCGGTGGGTGATGACCCTTCGGCTGATCCCCGGCATGTCCTTCGTCCCCCATGCAAAAACACTGGAGTAGGTGCGGAGGGCGCTGATGATGCCGGTCTTCAAGTCTTCAGGGAGCTTGGCTCCAATCTTCACGACTCTCTCCGGCTTGGCCGGATCGAGCGCGAAGTCTTCTACTTCCTCGGTTGGTTCAGCCCTCGGCCTCCTTTCTTCCGCTTCCACAGTTTTGGTGATGGTGTCAACGCTGAACTCCGTCTTGCTAACCTTCTTTGTTACTTAAAGGTAGCAAGCGCGAGCAAGTTTTTGGTTCCCCCTTGAGTAACCGATTCCCCCCTCGGCTGGGAACTTGAGGCAGAGGTGCCTCATGGAGATGACGGCCTCGAGATCCTCGAGGGCCGGACGACCGAGGATGATGTTGTGGGCGCAGTCGATGTTGACGACGACGAACTCCACCTCGAGCTTGGCTCTATGGAGCCCGTCGCCGAAGAGTATCAGGAGGGTTATAACCCCTCGGAATCAATGGTGTCACCGGTGAAGCCGGCAAGAGGGGTCTTGATGGGCCGAAGGGACCCCCTCTCCAGATGCAGCTCTCTGAAGGTACTGAGGTACATTACATTGACGGAGCTGCCCGTGTCAATGTAAGTTCGGTGAATAATAGTGTCATTGATCTCTGTGCGGATGACGAGGGCATCCCTGTGTGGGGAGGACACTGGGGGGAGATCAGCGTTAGTGAAAATAATGGGTTCCTCCCTCAGCCGCTTTACTGGGGGCATATGAGTGACTTTCCCCACGTAAAGTGATTGAGCCCACTTCTTTCGTTGACTTGTAGAATCACCCCCGGTATTGCCCCCTGTGATCATGAGGATGTGGCGCTTCTTTTCTTGGTACCGGGGGTATTCCTCCTCTTCTTCTTCCAGGTTCCCAATCTCCCTCTTCTTGCCGAGGGGGGTGGTGTTGGGGTTGACCCATGCATTTGCTCTCGCAGTTTACCCTCGGGGTGGCCCTTGGTGAGGGGGGCCCTGTTGCTGAGGGCCTTGAATAAATTGGGACAAATGGCCCGCCTGTATTAATCTTTCGATGGCCGCCTTCAGCTGATGGCAGTCATCGGTTCTGTGCCCCTGATGCCGGTGGAAGCGATAGTAGGGGTAGTTTGGATTGATGGCATATACTTCCGGGGGTGCACGGGAATCTCGCTCCACCAGGCCCCTCTCCTCAGCGAAATCAAGAATGACGCTGACGGGGTGCGTCAAAGGTGTCTGAGGGTGCTCCAGGAGAACAGGCTGTGCCCAAGCCCTCGGGTTCCCCTTGTAGCCTTCCCTGGGCTTGGCTTGGCCGTGCCGGGGGCGATCACCGGAGGGGGCCGAATCCTTAGGTTGATTACGAGGAGCCCCCGACCCCCGGTTGCCTTTGTCGTCTAGCCGAGGGTGTTGCTGATCGGGGACGTGATGGCATTTCTCCACCTCCTCGGCTTAGGCATACATGTCCCCCCGCTGTAGGGCCCTTATATAATCGCGGGGGGGTTCGATGATGAGGCTCCTTGAGAAGTTCCCGAGGCGGAGTACTGTTTGGAGGAGGGCCAGGAGGGTCCCGTCGTCAGCGCCATCAACTTTATCAGCCCCTGTTCTCCAACGCTCCAAGAAGTCCCGAAGGGTCTCCTCCTTCCTCTGCCTCACTGTCAGCAAGTGGGAGAAGTGCTTCCTTGTGCGGCGCCTTCCCGCAAATTGCGTCAAGAGTCGTTGGGCGAGTTCTTGCCATGAGTCAATGCAGCCCTCGGGCAATCGATTGAACCATTCATAGGTCGGCCCCTCTAGGGTGGAGAGGAACCAGCGGAACAAATACTCATCCGATGCCCCCACCATCATCATGCCGTTTTGGTATCTGCTGTAATGCTCCTGGGGGTCGGTTTTTTCGTCGTAGGGCTTGATGAGTTGCCCTCGTTATTTTTCCGGGATCCGGGCCGCCAATACCCTTGGGGTAAATGGTGTCCGGGTCCGGAACTGTATGGTGGGTTCCCCGGAGCCCTTCCTCTGCATTACCTCCGTCTTGGCCAACATGGCCTCATACTTGAGGTCTGTATGAGGGGCAGAAGTGGTGGCGTGCGCTTTGGTGGCCTCCATCTCGTGAAGTCGACGTTGAAGGGCCGCAATGATTTCATCCCTGGGGTCCTTCGGGAGGGCCTTCGCCCCCTGCAAATGGACACGGGCCGAGTGGGCCTGGTTGATTTGGTGGCGGGCGTCGTTGGCATGGAGAGGTGCCTTGCCTTTGTCCTGAGGGGGACGCCTTTCATTGGCCTTGGAGACAGATCCGCCACTTTCCTGAGGCCTCTGGAACGCCTTCCCCCTCGGCGGTCTTGGACCCCTCGGCGGTCTTGCGCCCCTCCAAGTCTCTCGAGGGCGGAGGTCCGGAGTTGTTCTTTGTTCACGTTGTGGCGGTCCCGGGATTGGACTTTCTGGGAGGCCGGTATCTTGGGCCACGACCCCCTCGACGTTCCCAATCCGGAGGACCGGGTTCCCGAGGGGGTGTGGATGAGGAGGTGATATGATATTCTCCCCGACCTGAGGTTGGAGGGGAACCAAAGTGCCGATGGCACCCGGGTTCTGGGTGAGCGTCTGGATGAAGGCGGAAAACGCCGATTGTACGTCGATTGTGATGACCGGAGGGCTAACTTGGTTCTCGCTCCGGTCCTTCTTCTTGGCCTCGATGCTGAGGCGGGCATCGGGGGCATTCTGTTGAATCTGATGGCGTAGGTCGACAGCCGTCTGGTCCAACCCGGCGATGACGCCGCCCCCGGGAGCCCTGTTAGAGGCTTCGGGGACGTCGACTTCGCCGAGGGCCAGGTTCCTGTCCTCAACGTTCTTGGAGTTGGCACGAGTTGTTCTCACCATTTTAGCTAGGTGTTTTGTGTTTGGCGAAGGGGAGGGTTTCTTACTTGATTATTCGACCTCTCAACGAGAGCACCATTGTTGGATAATTGATACCCATATCCCACAACTAAAGAGAGATTGAATAAGAGTGGAGAAAGAATAATGAAAGTGTATAGAATGAATGAATGTTGGTTATTGTTTACAAGCCTCCTATAAGGAGTATATATAGGGAAAATACGGGTCTGAGCCTCTAATATGGACCCGACAGACCCGGTTACATAAATGGACTGATAGTATAAAAAACTAATCTAGAACATCTGAATAATAATAATAATAATAATAATGTACAATAATATGAATGATATCCGCTAAACGTGCGTGGACCGCTGTCCAGGCCCAATAGTCGACAGACCGAGGGGTCGGAGTCCATATATTCCATCAGGAGTCCCTCACTCTTTTTGCCGAAAGGTACTTGAGGGAAAAGGAGTAATCATGTTTGTCCTCTGATGCTTCTCCGTTGTAGTTTGTAAGGTGGTGAGGAGTTCTTTGTTTGCACGTTTTGCCGAGGGAAAGGGAGTAGTCCACACTGTATCTGCAACGTTCTTCTGTCTTTGATTTCTTCCTCTCCGGCCGGGGATCACCACCCTTGTCCATGATGGGGAGGTACCTCGTTAAAAACCTCTACTAGGAAAAAACTCTGCGGGAAAAAATCCTAATAAAGGGAAAAAGAGTACACCTAGCGCCCCCAACATGAAAAAGGAAAGTAGGCCCCCTCCGGCATATTCACTTTTGTCTAGCTCAACCCGTCTTCATCTGACTTAGCTCTCGTTCCTGCTCATGTGTGATATTTGCTGCTCATCCAGAAAATCTGACCTCTCAGTCCCCCAGTCCCCCACTCCTTGAGGCGAGTGGAGACGAGGTGAAAAATGAGTAAAGTCATCTTCGTACCTACACATTTAACATGCATATTAATTTTTTTCTTGGGGTTTATGTTTCCGATCGGGAGTTCGTCACTTGAAAAAAGTGGAAATGTGAATTGTTGATGTA